ACCATGTAACCACACCACATCGACTCACCATGTAAAGCTTCATCCAGAGTTCCGTTGGGCACGAACTCATACACGAGCAGCCGCTGATCGCCCCCAATGCAGTACCCCAGCAGCATCACCATCATAGAAGTAGGGTTACCATGTAACCACACCACATCGACTCACCATGTAAAGCTTCATCCAGAGTTCCGTTGGGCACGAACTCATACACGAGCAGCCGCTGATCGCCCCCAATGCAGTACCCCAGCAGCATCACCATCATAGAAGTAGGGTTACCATGTAACCACACCACATCGACTCACCATGTAAAGCTTCATCCAGAGTTCCGTTGGGCACGAACTCATACACGAGCAGCCGCTGATCGCCCCCAATGCAGTACCCCAGCAGCATCACCATCATAGAAGTAGGGTTACCATGTAACCACACCACATCGACTCACCATGTAAAGCTTCATCCAGAGTTCCGTTGGGCACGAACTCATACACGAGCAGCCGCTGATCGCCCCCAATGCAGTACCCCAGCAGCATCACCATCATAGAAGTAGGGTTACCATGTAACCACACCACATCGACTCACCATGTAAAGCTTCATCCAGAGTTCCGTTGGGCACGAACTCATACACGAGCAGCCGCTGATCGCCCCCAATGCAGTACCCCAGCAGCATCACCATCATAGAAGTAGGGTTACCATGTAACCACACCACATCGACTCACCATGTAAAGCTTCATCCAGAGTTCCGTTGGGCACGAACTCATACACGAGCAGCCGCTGATCGCCCCCAATGCAGTACCCCAGCAGCATCACCATCATAGAAGTAGGGTTACCATGTAACCACACCACATCGACTCACCATGTAAAGCTTCATCCAGAGTTCCGTTGGGCACGAACTCATACACGAGCAGCCGCTGATCGCCCCCAATGCAGTACCCCAGCAGCATCACCATCATAGAAGTAGGGTTACCATGTAACCACACCACATCGACTCACCATGTAAAGCTTCATCCAGAGTTCCGTTGGGCACGAACTCATACACCAGCAGCCGCTGATCGCCCCCAATGCAGTACCCCAGCAGCATCACCATCATAGAAGTAGGGTTACCATGTAACCACACCACATCGACTCACCATGTAAAGCTTCATCCAGAGTTCCGTTGGGCACGAACTCATACACGAGCAGCCGCTGATCGCCCCCAATGCAGTACCCCAGCAGCATCACCATCATAGAAGTAGGGTTACCATGTAACCACACCACATCGACTCACCATGTAAAGCTTCATCCAGAGTTCCGTTGGGCACGAACTCATACACGAGCAGCCGCTGATCGCCCCCAATGCAGTACCCCAGCAGCATCACCATCATAGAAGTAGGGTTACCATGTAACCACACCACATCGACTCACCATGTAAAGCTTCATCCAGAGTTCCGTTGGGCACGAACTCATACACGAGCAGCCGCTGATCGCCCCCAATGCAGTACCCCAGCAGCATCACCATCATAGAAGTAGGGTTACCATGTAACCACACCACATCGACTCACCATGTAAAGCTTCATCCAGAGTTCCGTTGGGCACGAACTCATACACGAGCAGCCGCTGATCGCCCCCAATGCAGTACCCCAGCAGCATCACCATCATAGAAGTAGGGTTACCATGTAACCACACCACATCGACTCACCATGTAAAGCTTCATCCAGAGTTCCGTTGGGCACGAACTCATACACGAGCAGCCGCTGATCGCCCCCAATGCAGTACCCCAGCAGCATCACCATCATAGAAGTAGGGTTACCATGTAACCACACCACATCGACTCACCATGTAAAGCTTCATCCAGAGTTCCGTTGGGCACGAACTCATACACGAGCAGCCGCTGATCGCCCCCAATGCAGTACCCCAGCAGCATCACCATCATAGAAGTAGGGTTACCATGTAACCACACCACATCGACTCACCATGTAAAGCTTCATCCAGAGTTCCGTTGGGCACGAACTCATACACGAGCAGCCGCTGATCGCCCCCAATGCAGTACCCCAGCAGCATCACCATCATAGAAGTAGGGTTACCATGTAACCACACCACATCGACTCACCATGTAAAGCTTCATCCAGAGTTCCGTTGGGCACGAACTCATACACGAGCAGCCGCTGATCGCCCCCAATGCAGTACCCCAGCAGCATCACCATCATAGAAGTAGGGTTACCATGTAACCACACCACATCGACTCACCATGTAAAGCTTCATCCAGAGTTCCGTTGGGCACGAACTCATACACGAGCAGCCGCTGATCGCCCCCAATGCAGTACCCCAGCAGCATCACCATCATAGAAGTAGGGTTACCATGTAACCACACCACATCGACTCACCGTGTAAAGCTTCGTCCAGAGTTCCGTTGGGCACGAACTCATACACCAGCAGCCGCTGATCGCCCCCAATGCAGTACCCCAGCAGCATCACCATCATAGAAGTAGGGTTACCATGTAACCACACCACATCGACTCACCGTGCAACGCTTCGTCCAGAGTTCCGTTCGGCACGAATTCATACACCAGCAGCCGCTGATCGCCCCCAATGCAGTACCCCAGCAGCATCACCATCATAGAAGTAGGGTTACCATGTAACCACACCACATCGACTCACCGTGCAACGCTTCGTCCAGAGTTCCGTTCGGCACGAATTCATACACCAGCAGCCGCTGATCGCCCCCAATGCAGTACCCCAGCAGCATCACCATCATAGAAGTAGGGTTACCATGTAACCACACCACATCGACTCACCGTGCAACGCTTCGTCCAGAGTTCCGTTCGGCACGAATTCATACACCAGCAGCCGCTGATCGCCCCCAATGCAGTACCCCAGCAGCATCACCATCATAGAAGTAGGGTTACCATGTAACCACACCACATCGACTCACCGTGCAACGCTTCGTCCAGAGTTCCGTTCGGCACGAATTCATACACCAGCAGCCGCTGATCGCCCCCAATGCAGTACCCCAGCAGCATCACCATCATAGAAGTAGGGTTACCATGTAACCACACCACATCGACTCACCGTGCAACGCTTCGTCCAGAGTTCCGTTCGGCACGAATTCATACACCAGCAGCCGCTGATCGCCCCCAATGCAGTACCCCAGCAGCATCACCATCATAGAAGTAGGGTTACCATGTAACCACACCACATCGACTCACCGTGCAACGCTTCGTCCAGAGTTCCGTTCGGCACGAATTCATACACCAGCAGCCGCTGATCGCCCCCAATGCAGTACCCCAGCAGCATCACCATCATAGAAGTAGGGTTACCATGTAACCACACCACATCGACTCACCGTGCAACGCTTCGTCCAGAGTTCCGTTCGGCACGAATTCATACACCAGCAGCCGCTGATCGCCCCCAATGCAGTACCCCAGCAGCATCACCATCATAGAAGTAGGGTTACCATGTAACCACACCACATCGACTCACCGTGCAACGCTTCGTCCAGAGTTCCGTTCGGCACGAATTCATACACCAGCAGCCGCTGATCGCCCCCAATGCAGTACCCCAGCAGGGTCACCAAGTACCTATGGTGCACCCTACTAATAATCTCCACTTCCGCCCTAAACTCCTTCTCCCCCTGCCCTCCCCCAATCGTCAGCACCTTCACCGCAACTTCCTTCCCATCCCTCACCACCCCTTTGTACACCTTCCCAAACCCTCCCTCCCCTAGAAGATTCGTGCGCGCGAATCCCCCAGTTGCCTGCTCTAGCTCCGCATAAGAAAACCAGGATTGCGAATGCATTTGATTCTGCTGGTTATCCTGCCCCCTGCTGCTCGCGCCTGCGCCCCCCGCGCCTGCTGCAACCGCCCCCATCCCCATCCCCATGCCCATCCCCGCGGCGGCGGCGGCGGCGGACGCGGAACCCGCGGAAGGGTCGTCTGGGGGGAGCATCATGTGGGAACCGATAGGGACCACCGCGTAGGGGTTGGGCGGTGGTAACATAGGGTAACCCGATCCTCCCTGGCCTGATGCTGTGGTGTAGAAGCTCTCTCCGTACATGCCGTTGCCTGGTGTGTGGGGGGAGGGGAGAGGGGGGGTTGTGGAAAAGAGTGGGGTGTTGGTGAAATAAGTTACTTGAATTGACTCAAAAATCATTCGCTCCGACCCTCCCTGGCCTGATGCTGTGGTGTAGAAGCTCTCTCCGTACATGCCGTTGCCTGGTGTGGGGAGTGGTGAGGAGAGGAGGGAGTGTTGGTGGGGAAAGTCTATTGAGTGTGATGGAGGGAGTTGAATCAACACTCATCCGACCCTCCCTGGCCTGATGCTGTGGTGTATAAGCTTCCTGTATACATGCCATTGCCTGGTTGGTGGTGGTGGGCGAAGAAGAGGGGAGGATAAGAGGAGGAGGAGAGAAGAGGGAGAATGAGAGGAGGGGGGGTCGAGAGGAGGAGGGGGCGAGAAGAGGGGGAGGGCCACAGGATGGGGGTGAGAGAAGGGGGAGGGTGAGAGGAGGGGGAAGGGAAAAAGAGGGAAGAAGAGAAGAAGAACGGGTGAGGAGAACGAGGGTGACGGGATAGTACCTGTGACACGCCATAAACGGTACAACGTGAATTATTGCACAATATACCCTACTACTACCACCACTGTTACACAGCTCACGGACAACAGCCACACCGCACACCACAGCACCTCACCGCACACCACCACGCACCCACCACACACCACCGCACACGACCTGAGCTCACCTTTCAGCGCGTAGAAGTCGGACGTGCTGCCTCGCGGGTATCGCTCTTCCTCCTCCTCGTCGCGTCGATTAACTACGAAATAGAAAAAGCACAGCAGCCCCACCACCAGCGTCACCAGCAGCAGCGCTCCCCCCGCCACCGCGCCCGCCACTACCGCTGCGCTCACCCCCGCTTCCGGCGACGGCGCGGGTGCCGCCGCTTGCGGCGGCGGCGGCGACATGTAATTGACTGGCGGAGACGGCATATTGTTGTACGGCGGGGAGAGCGGCGGCGGGGTCGGGATGAATATGGGCGCGGGGGCGGGAGCTTCCGCGCGCGGAGGAGGCGCCCGCGGCGGCGGTGGGTTGCGCAGCTTTGGCCTTGGCGGGCGCACGAGCGCTGGTGCCTTCGGGGGCGGCGGGGGAGAAGAAGCGATCGGGGAAGGCGCGGGCGCAGGCTTAGGCGGAGAGTCAACGACTGGCGCAGGCGCAGGAGCGGGGGGGTCGATTGGGGGAGGGGCTGGCGGAGGAGCTGGGGGCTCCGCTGGGGGGGGCGCAGGTGGTTCCGCGGGGGGTTCCGCGGGGGGTTCCGCGGGGGGTTCTGCGGGAGGGAGAACGGGAGGTGCCGCGGGAGGCTCAACAGGGGGCGGATGTCTCGCTATAAGGGGTTTTGGAGGTCGTTTAACGATTACAGGGGGGGCCGGAGGAGGTCTTTTGGGCGGAGGCGACGGGACTGGCGGAGGCAGGGTTGGCGGCTTTGGCGGCGGCCGCGCCAGCGGCTTCGGGGGCTTTGGCGGCGGAAACACAGGAGGGGGGAAGAGGATCTCCGGAGGGGGCGCAGGTTGGATATCGATCATCGGCGGAGGGGGATCGGGGAGAAGAGGGGGAGGCGCATCTATAACGGGCGGAAGCGGCGGCGGCGCATTAGGGGGAACTTGCAGTACCGGAGATGGCGGCTTGCCCCCCCGCGGCTTAGACGGCGGATTCATCGCCGGCGGCGGTCTGCCCTTGAAACTCGGTGGTTTCGGCACCGTAGCTGGCGGCGGTTGCGCTGCGACAGGCGGAGGCGCGTTGGGCGGTTGCGGGGGAGGCGCATCGATGATCGGCGCGCTGGGGGCTTGCGCGGGAGCGACGGAGCCCTGAAGAACGCCTAGCTTCGGCGCGGACAGCGGGGGGGAACCTTGGAGCAGAGTGACCATGCGCGGGGGCGGCGGGGGGAGAGGCGCGGGAGGTGGGGCGGAGAAGGCGGAGGGTGTCGAGTCCTGCAGCGCGCGGACAGATCGTTGCGGAGTTTCGGTTTCAAGAGTCGACTGTTGAAGGACGCGGAAGACGGCGGCGGAGTGTGTAAGGGACGCGTGTTGGATCGGATTCAGATTTGAATCCATTGAACCTAAGCCGTTCATCTGGGGGATCAGATCGTCTGGGCAAGGCGTGTCTGTGAACGCGCCACCTGGCGACGGCTCCAGCCAGGGTTCGTTCATTTTGACGGATTCCGTCAACGCTACCGTTGATAACGCGCCAGCACACGCACTTAATCTTTATGAAAAAACTGAATGGATAAATAAGTGGAGATCGTGATGTTTGCGGTACGAGGGTGTAAGGGGACTGGTCCGTGCGTCTGCCGTGCGCTGAGGAGACACGCCGACGGCGAGAGAGCTACGACGACGAGAAACCTAGGCGAGAAACTTGCGTGAGCGAAGAACATACGGAGTCGAAGAACCTACAACGGCTCCTATCGCGCAATGGGAGGGAGTAAACGTACGCACAAGTAGGAAGCGAGTGTACATACGTCCCCGTTCCGTAGCCCATGCCCGCTTCCCCTCTCCTGTTTCCCAAATCGAAGCTATGTAGCTATCCCTTCATTAGCCGTGAAGTCGAACTGTATGGCGAACTGTTCGTGGAGATGACGGTTCAACAGAAACAGACAGACACGCGGGGGTCTAATCTCGTTCTAGGCGTTGCACATTTGTTTCTCGTCGCTGATCCTGACAGGTGGCGTCATGAATCCAGGCCGTGATGGTGTCACGACCTCCGCTTGGCCACTCAGGGAGGAGGAGTTTCTGTTCGAAGCTGACTGTTCACGTAAGCTGAGCGTCTGAGGCCGTGGGACCTAGAGGTTATCGAATGGGGCCAGATTTGAGGCGCCTCAGAAACTGCCTAGGCGTTTGGTGCCGTGGAGCCTAGAGGTTGACGGGTGGAGCATGGCGGGGCAGACTGGCGGGATTGTTGGCGACTGCGAGGAAGGCGAGAATGGTGTCAGAACGCAGATCTCAAACAAGGGAGCAGAAGGGGAGAGGAGGGACGAGACAAGGAGGAAATGGGAGGTACGGTACGGACGGAGGTCAGGAAGGGAACGGAAGCTGGAGAGGCTGGCTATGGAGGCTAGGCAGGGGAAACATCAGGTACGGAGGAGCTGGTGGTAGCAATTCCGAGGTCTGGTGTGGTGAGTCGTGATGACCTCTTTGAAAGCCGCGCGTCTTGGGAATGTGCGGACGCGGGAAAATCTTGGTGGCAATTTCGACGGCAGCGCAGTGCCATTTTCCCTGGCGAAATCTCTGGCACACCTGATGACCTGGCATGGAGACGGACACCGACACAATCACGACGGCTATGAGAAACCGGGTTTTGCAGGCATGCTGGAATAGTTTGTGATTGGACGAACTTTCTGGCTGGTTACAAAGGTTCGTGTCGACTGACGTGTCGAGTCTGCCCCTCCGACCAAGGAAAGCGGTGTTCTAGGGTTGGTCGATCTGACAGCTTGTCAGGAGGAACCTTGTGTCAGCTGGACAGCGCTGGTCCGAAACGCCAGATATGGGGCGACGCGGCAGATATGTTGGATATCTGTGTAACTCGTTGTAATTCGTCCTCGTTCGCAGTTCACGAACACCGACTCCTGCGAAGCCTGTAAATCCTGTATTTACGAGTCACAGAATACGCATTCAAATCTGTGTACAGACGGTATCCTAAGACGAAGGGCGTTCAAGCGGGTACAAGCCATGCTCACTCTCTATTCTCGATTTGATCACTTCGTCAATCCCGAGGACCTCTACCACCTCCACCTTCAGCAAATCCTGGCCATTTATTGGATCTAGATTCTAGAGCATCATCACCCCCAGCAGCTAGTTCCAACGGCTTGCGCCAACTAAATTCAGGTCCTACATTCAAAGCCTTGATTTCCGCCATAAGTGGGGGTCGGTAAAGCTTTCTTCGGTGTTCCGCCTTCACGCTTGATCATACGAAGCGGCACTTATGCACGTTGCGGTTTCTTCTCGCTTGCGCGTGGTTTCACGTACCCTCCCCACAGATCGCTTGCGATCTGCTTTGAGAACAGGAGTCGATAGTAGACGCGTAGCGCTTCTGAGTAATCGCTCTGGGAGTTTGACCGTTGCGAGGCGAGAGACAGGACTTGGCTGTCACCGTGTGCTCTCAGCCGGATCACTTCGTATGTGAGTGAACAATTAATCGTTCCGCCTTCCAGCAGTTGGTTCCCCGCATACCCAGTAGTATGCTTACTTAGGTGTTAGCACGTCCTGCTGTAGTGTTCCCAGGAGCGCGTGATAGTCTTAAGTCATTTTTGCTGTCAATTCCTGACGGTGCATGTCCAGTACTGGTATTCAGGCGGTTTATTTACCGGCTGATGATCTTGTCCCGTCAATGTTCATTGTAACGGCCCGGCACTGTTAGATTATCTAGCCGTTTTTCTGGCGCTCACGTTCGTGCTTGGTCACGATTTCCTGCTGCAAAGGCTCAAGCGTTACATTAAGTTTTGGAATCAGAGCATCCGAATCGATTCTAGTGTCCGAATGTATCCAGATGCAAGGGTGCAAAAACTGCGATCATTGCGGAGCGTCACCGCTACGAAAGACTAGGATGAACAAATTCTCGCACCCTTGCAACAGGATCTCCTGGTGCAAGCGTGCGAACATGACAGGTCCTCCAGTGGTTACCATCAGTTCATCTGTCGTTATGTCGGAACGCGAATCCCGCTAGCGTTGGATAGTGAATATCTGGAGGGTGATAATTTCAGAGTTTGTCAAATTCCAGACACCTTCGAGGTCTTACTTTCGACAGTTTGCTTTGTTTAATATTATACTGGAGAGTGCTTCTAGAGAAGTTCGCATCGATTGTGTCTTATTATTTCCTACCGAATTCATCACTGCGCCGCTAGTCTAAGACCGAGGCCTGGTCTGGAGGCTTCCTCATGCTCCCATTCTCCAGACCAGAGCGCTGGATACCATCTGGTCGCTCGTCAGAGCTCTAGCCATCTGATCTCTCATTAGAACTCCTGTCTGGTCTCCGTTACCCTGCTGAATCGTGGCTCTCAGCCGTTTACTCGATTTCTTAACCGTTCCTTGCCGCTGTCGCGCTGACACGAAACGTGATCCTTGTTTTCCCTGTTTGGATCTTTCAGCTGCGGCGTGCCTGTCGTATCCGCGCCGACCCGGCTCAGCTCGCGACTCGAATCGTCGTCAACGGTCGCACGGGCCATGGCGACAGGCGCGGAGGGCGGCGGTCTGATCGACCGCGCGTCGACGGTGGAGGAGGAGGAGCTGCTCGAGTCGTTCTCGCTCATCGCCAGCATTGACAAGGCCTGGTGCCGAGTGTCGCCCGTTGGTGGGTGCAGATGGGCTGACATGGGTGGAGATGGGTTGAGATGGGCCCATATGGGTTGTGAAAGGTGGATGGGAGCAAGAGGGGTTGAATAGGAGGAGGAGGAGGAGCTGCTCGAGTCCTTCTCGCTCGTCTCCAGCATTGCCATGGCCTGGTGGCGCGTCTCGCCCGTCGGTGGGTGCTTGTGCAAATGGGTTGAGATGGGTTGAAAAGGGGTTGGGAAGAGGGGCGGCACTTCAGGCCAGCTGCAGGACTCCAGTGCAACGACACCTGCGCTCCCTCTCTTTCCCCGTACCCCTCCCTTCGTGCATCTGTGCCTCCCCGCTCTTCCCACCCACCGCCCCCTTCATATCTCCCCTGCATCCCCTCGATAATTCATCGCATGCGTATTTTTGAGTCGACTAAAAAAATCATCTCTTTCCCCGTACCCCTCCCTTGGTGCATCTGTGCCTCCCCGCTCTTCCCACCCCCGCCCCCCACATATCTCCCCTGCGTGCCCTCAGTTATTCAACGCATGCGGCACGGCAGGCCAAACTGCAGGACCCAAGGGCAAGGGCGCTTTCGCTCCCCGCTTTCCCCTCGCCCACTTTCCCCTCACCCACTTCCCCCTCACCTTGCTCATCCGTGCCTCTCTCCCTCCCATTGTCTCCCCTGCATGGTCACATTGACTCAACGCATGCAGCACTGCAGGCCAAAATGCAGGACCCAAAGGCAAGGGCGCTTTCGGCCCCCCACTTTCCCTTCACCTTGCTCATCGTGCCTCTCTCCCTCCCATTGTCTCCCCTGCATGGTCACATTGACTCAACGCATGCGGAACTGCAGGCCAAAATGCAGGACCCAAAGGCAAGGGCGCTTTCGCCCCCCCCACTTTCCCTTCACCTTGCTCATCTTGCCTCCCTCCCTCCCGTTGTCTCCCCTGCATGGTCACATTGACTCAACGCATGTGGCACTGCAGGCCAAAATGCAGGACCCAAGGGCAAGGGCGCTCCAGGTGCGTCACTTCCCTCTTCTACCTCTCCCCCTCCCTCTGCCTCTCCCTCTCCTTCTACCTCTCCCACTCCCTCTGCCTCTCCCTCTCCTTCTCCCTCTCCCCGTCCGTCTCCCTCTCGCTCTCCCTCTCCCTCTCCCTCTCCCTCTTCCTCTCCCTCTCCCTCTCCCTCTCCCTCTCCCTCTCCCTCTCCCTCTCCCTCTCCCTCTTCCTGTCCCTCTCCCCCTCTTTCTCTTTCTCCCACCCCCTCTCCCTCTCTCTCGTGCCCCTTTGAGTTCCCTATCTCTCGCGTCGTTTCATCTCCCTTCCGCGCACGTGCGTCCTGTGCTCAGTGCTTCTCACACCTTCAGTCGTGTAGACTGGGCGAGCAGCAGTCAGTACGTGGCATCAGTACACATGAATAACCCACCCAACCCAATTCCACACACACGCACGCGGTTTCCTCTTTCCCGATGCTCACAGGCAAGGCCAGTCTAGACGTGACAGTGCAGATGAGTCAGAAGAACCTGCCTGCCAACGCCATGCGCAAGTGCCTCCCCTTTTGTTACCGTCTTTTTCCCTAACTTTTCTTGCTCCCTCCCTCCCCACAGGCAAGGCCAGTCTAGACGTGACGGTGCAGATGAGTCAGAAGAACCTGCCTGCCAACGCCATGCGCAAGTGCCTCCCCTTTTGTTACCGTCTTTTTCCCTAACTTTTCTTGCTCCCTCCCTCCCCACAGGCAAGGCCAGTCTAGACGTGACGGTGCAGATGAGTCAGAAGAACCTACCAGCCAACGCCATGCGCAAGTACCTCTCAACCGTGCACGTGCCCGACCCCCAAGGCGACCTCTCCTCCTTCCACTGGTCCCCCTTCCCCTCCGAGCTCACCGGGGTGACCCTCATCGCCCCCTCCCCCTCGGGGGGACGGCTGCTGGTGGTGCGCAATGGGGAGGCGGGCGTGGGGGGGAAGGAGGCCGGAGCGGTGAAGCTGGAGGTGTGGGGCGCGGGGCGGCTGCTGAGGGAGGTGCATGTGGCGGCTACTGTTCATGGGGGGGTGTACGCCGATGGATGGTAAGTAATATGAATGTGCTGGCTTGTTTGTTTGTTTGTTTGATTATTATTATTTTGGCTCTTAGCAGGTTTTTTTCTTGAATTATAAAAAGGTGGTTATGTCAACATGATATCTTATCAACCCCTTTCCATTCTGAAATTATATGATTTGTAGCAATTAAGTCAAAGTTTCACCGTTCCCCCATCTTCCCTCCCCTGCTGCTCCTTCGTTCTCAGGTTCGAGGGAGTGTCATGGAATGAGGATGAAACCTGTGTTGCCTACGTGGCAGAAGAGCCTGCCCCACCCAAGCCTGTCTTCGGCCAGCCTCGGCAGCCCGCTGCCACGTCAGCCGCCCAGCACCCGCCTGCCGCACCTGCCGGCCCGGCTCGGGGCAGGTTCACAGCCGCAGCTGCAGCGGCGCCAGCTCCGGCGGGAGGTGCGGGGAAGGGGAAGAACGGGGCGGCGGAGGCAGGGACGTGGAAGGGGAAGGGGGAGTGGATGGAGGACTGGGGGGAGAGATACGCAGGGAAGCAGCGGCCGCTGCTGTTTGTACTCAACACTGTCAGGTGCGTTAAGGTGGTGTTTTCTTATAGGCGGTTCAAGAGGGCAAGGGGGAGTGGATGGAGAACTGGGGGGAAAGATACGCGAGGAAGCAGCGGCCTCTGGTGTTTGTTCTCAACACTGTCAGGTGCGTTAAGGGGGCGTATCAATTGCATTCCTCTCCTAGGTGCGTATCTTAAAATGAGCTGTCAGGTGCATGGCATAGGAGTTTGTGGAACAGAGGTGGTGGGGGCCCCAGATGTGAAGGCAGATGCGCTGGCAGTCTTCATGTGCTATCTCGTATCTCTTCTCCTTCTCACTTCCCCTTCCCACCCCACCCGCGGCTCTCCCCTCCCATCCTCACATTCCGCCTCCAAACGCCACGCTTCTGCCTTCCTTGCCACCTTCTCGCACCGCTCTGTACCGCTCTCTCCCTGCCAGTGGCACAGTGCAGGCAGTGGAGGGCATCCCAGGGGACATCAGTGCGGGGCAGGTGGTGTGGGCGCCGGCAGTGGAGGGGCAGCACATGCTCTCACCTTTTCTCATCTGCTGCCACCACTATACACCGCTCTCTTTCGCCCTGCCAGTGGCACAGTGCAGGCAGTGGAGGGCATTCCAGGGGACATCAGCGCGGGGCAGGTGGTGTGGGCGCCGGCAGTGGAGGGGCAGCAGCCAACACTGCTCTTCGTCGGCTGGTCCGCCTTCGCTTCCAACTTCAACACGGCTCGCCGCCTTGGCATTGTGTACTGCGCCAACCGCCCCTGCCATCTGTTTGCTGCTCAAGCGCCCTCCCAAGACGCTGCTGGGTGAGTGAAGGCTTCTCTTTCATTTTGGTTTGGGTCACATTCACCACTCCTCTCCTGCTCTGCCTTCCCCTCCAATTTCAACACGGCGCGCCGCCTTGGCATTGTGTACTGTGCCAACCGCCCCTGCCACCTCTTTGCTGCGCCCTCAAAAGTCTTCTGCTGAAGCGAGCTCCTTGGATTGTCTGTCTCTCCCTCTTGGCCCCGTTCATTCAAGTGCCCTTGGCGACCTATGCACTCATTGCCTGCTGTCTGTCAGTCTCCGTTGTGGTGTGCTCCTGCTTCCCGCTCCTCCTCTACCTGTTCTGACAGGTGAAAGATAGGTAGTGGCAGCAGCATTGCTGGCATCAGCAGTCGTAGAACTATAAGTTGCTTGTGTCGATGGCCCACCTTTCTCTTCGTGTTTGGCCTTCTGTCTCTGCCCGCCTTGCAGGAAGAAGTCAGGCAGCGGCTGCAGCATTGTGAAGCGCACTGCTGGCATCAGCAGTCACAGCTTTATGAGTTGCTTGCTTGCATCGAGTGTCCACTTGCCTGCCTCCTCCCGTCTTCCCCTTCTGTCTCTACCTGTCCTTACAGGAAGAAGTCAGGCAGCGGCTGCAGCATTGTGAAGCTCACGGCTGGCATCAGCAGCGCCTTCTCACCCCGCTTCAGGTACCCTGTCATAGATTTCCTCGTTTTATGACATCTCGTTTTGCTGCTGTTAAATTTCCCAAGTGCCAACAGCAACAATAGTCCCTTCTCAGCTGTTTACTGTTAATTTTCCTTGTTTCCTCTCCCGTTTGTGTGATGCATGCGGGTTTGAACCAGCAACAACCCGCAGGAGCAAACAGGCACCAGCACACATGGAACCCGCAATTCTTCTTTCCTTTCTGTCCGCCCACCCCTTGCCAAGTTCCCACTTGCTCTCCTCGCACGCAGCTTTGCACAGCAGCACTTTCGGCGCCATCACCAACCCTATCTACCCCCCGTCCATCCCCTGCAATGCAATCTGCTCCCTGCTTGCCCCAATTCCCCCTTTCAGCCCTGACGGCTCTCTGCTGGTCTTCCTCTCATCGCACGCAGCAGTGGACAGCGGCACTCACGGCGCCACCGTTAACCCTGTCTACCCTTTGTCCGTCCCTTGCAATCTGCTCCCTGCCTGCCTGCTCTTGTCTCCCGTACCCTCAGCCCTGACGGCTCTCTGCTGGTCTTCCTCTCATCGCACGCAGCAGTGGATTGCGGCTCTCACGGCGCCACCAACCCTGGCTTTCTCTCCTTCCCCCATCCACCCCTTGCTCTGTGCCCCCGTCTCCTCCCTCCCTGCTCCTCTTTCAGCCCTGACGGCTCTCTGCTGGTCTTCCTCTCATCACACGCAGCAGTGGACAGCGGCACTCACGGCGCCACCAACTCGCTGCACTCGCTGCTCTGGCCCAAGGAGGGCATCTCCTTCCCCCACGCCCCTCCTGCTGATCCTGAGGAGGATACTCGTTCAGGGCCTTCCGACGTCCCCGCTATAGACATTCCCATTAACAGCATAGTGAGTGTCCTTTGTCGCGACTGTCAGGCTGCCGGTTGGTACGGTGAGGTGCCAACTCACTGCACTCCCTGCTCTAGCCTCCCCTTTCATCACGCACTCCCCGGCTGGGCTTGAGAGGACTCTTTGCACTGGGCCTTAGTCCCAGCGGTTTACATCTTCATTGTATCAGCTGCTTCTTACATGCGTCATGTCATGGCCATACGGTTCTCCGGCTGCTTTTTTTTCTTCTTCTTCTTCTTTGAGAATTCTCAACAAAAATGCTTCTTACATGTGTCATGGCCATATGGGAATCCCTAGTGCTCCGGCACTCCAAATGCTGTGGCTGCAGATCAGTGTGGTGAGGGCGGAGAAGCAGGACGTTTTTTCAGGGCTGTATGCTGCTGGAGCCATTGCCAACCCGTGGCTGGCGGATGGTCACTTGTCACCTCTTTCCCCTCTTCATCAACACCCATTTCCCCTGTTTCCCTGACTGCAGATCAGTGTGGTGGCGAGGGCGGAGGAGCAGGGCGGCTTTCCAGGACTGTACGCTGCTGGAGCCATCGCCAACCCGTGGCTGGCGGATGGGCTCTTGCCATTGAAATGCCCTACTGCTTCCTCCATGCACCGATTTCCCCTGTTTTTCTCTCTGCAGATCAGTGTGGTGGCGAGGGCGGAGGAGCAAGGAGGGTTCCCTGGCCTGTACGCTGCTGGAGCCATCGCCAACCCGTGGCTGGCGGATGGGCGCACGCTGCTGCTTACTACAGCGTGGAGGAGCACCCAAGCGATCATCTCCGTGCATGTGGAGAGGTGGGGCTGGCTGCTTGTGTATGATTGCATGCATGTATGCTTGTAGCCTGTACCTGCTGGGGGTTGGGCACACGCTGCTGCTCACTACAGCGTGGAGGAGCACCCAAGCGATCATCTCCGTGCATGTGGAGAGGTGGGGCTGGTTGCTTGTGTATGATTGCATGCATGTATGCTTGTAGCCTGTACCTGCTGGGGGTTGGGCCCACGCTGCTGCTCACTACAGCGTGGAGGAGCACCCAAGCGATCATCTCCGTGCATGTGGAGAGGTGGGGCTGGCTGCTTGTGTATGATTGCATGCATGTATGCTTGTAGCCTGTACCTGCTGGGGGTTGGGCCCACGCTGCTGCTCACTACAGCGTGGAGGAGCACCCAAGCGATCATCTCCGTGCATGTGGAGAGGTGGGGCTGGCTGCTTGTGTATGATTGCATGCATGTATGCTTGTAGCCTGTACCTGCTGGGGGTTGGGCCCACGCTGCTGCTCACTACAGCGTGGAGGAGCACCCAAGCGATCATCTCCGTGCATGTGGAGAGGTGGGGCTGGCTGCTTGTGTATGATTGCATGCATGTATGCTTGTAGCCTGTACCTGCTGGGGGTTGGGCCCACGCTGCTGCTCACTACAGCGTGGAGGAGCACCCAAGCGATCATCTCCGTGCATGTGGAGAGGTGGGGCTGGCTGCTTGTGTATGATTGCATGCATGTATGCTTGTAGCCTGTACCTGCTGGGGGTTGGGCCCACGCTGCTGCTCACTACAGCGTGGAGGAGCACCCAAGCGATCATCTCCGTGCATGTGGAGAGGTGGGGCTGGCTGCTTGTGTATGATTGCATGCATGTATGCTTGTAGCCTGTACCTGCTGGGGGTTGGGCCCACGCTGCTGCTCACTACAGCGTGGAGGAGCACCCAAGCGATCATCTCCGTGCATGTGGAGAGGTGGGGCTGGCTGCTTGTGTATGATTGCATGCATGTATGCTTGTAGCCTGTACCTGCTGGGGGTTGGGCCCACGCTGCTGCTCACTACAGCGTGGAGGAGCACCCAAGCGATCATCTCCGTGCATGTGGAGAGGTGGGGCTGGCTGCTTGTGTATGATTGCATGCATGTATGCTTGTAGCCTGTACCTGCTGGGGGTTGGGCCCACGCTGCTGCTCACTACAGCGTGGAGGAGCACCCAAGCGATCATCTCCGTGCATGTGGAGAGGTGGGGCTGGCTGCTTGTGTATGATTGCATGCATGTATGCTTGTAGCCTGTACCTGCTGGGGGTTGGGCCCACGCTGCTGCTCACTACAGCGTGGAGGAGCACCCAAGCGATCATCTCTGTGCATGTGGAGAGGTAAGGTGGCTATGCAAACATGCACGTGTGTATGCTTGTAACCCGTGGGGCGGATGGGCGCACGCTGCTGCTCACCACAGCTCAAGCACCACCACCCCACCCCACCCCATCCCACCCCACCCCATCCCATCCCCGCCCCACCCCACCCCATCCCATCCGCGCCCCACCCCACCCCATCCCATCCCCGCCCACGGCGGTGGACCCCAAAGGTCCCTTGAAACAAGTAGATTTTGGAGAAGTCTCAAAAATCTACTTGTTTCACCCCGCGGCGGTGGAGTGGACCCCAAAGGTCCCCATCTCCTCGCGAAACAAACAAACAACTTCCCCCTCCACCCCAACTTGTGAGTCGACTCAAATATCAACCGACCGCTCCTTTCACCCCACCCCACCCCTCTCTCTTCCTGCAGTGGGCGGGTGTCCCGGCTGACCCCGGAGGGCCCCATCTCGTGGGTGCTGCTGGATGTGCGGAACAACGTGGTGGTGGCGGGTGAGTGTGTGAAGGAGTGAATGACCAAGTGAGGGAGTGAGAAGTGAGTGAGTTGCGTACAGACAGAGGGAGGAAAAGAAGGTGGTAAAGGCCCAGAGGGCCCCATCTCGTGGGTGATGCTGCTGGACGTGCGGAACAACGTGGTGGTAGTGGGTGAGTGGGGGAAGGGGTGTGGGGGGAGCAGAGGGGGGGGCGGAATGCAGTCAGAGAGAGGAAAAGATGGTGGGTGAGGCCCTGAGCTGTGCGCCCCATCTCGTGGGTGCTGCTGGACGTGCGGAACAACGTGGTGGTGGCGGGTGAGTGAGTGAGGGAGGGGGGCAGGGGGGAGGGGAAGGAGGGGGAATGCACACAGAAGGACGAAAAGAAGGTTGTCATGTCAAGGCCCTTAGCCCCCCATCTCGTGGGTGGTGCTGCTGGACGTGCGGAACAATGTGGTGGTGGCGGGTGAGTGAAGGAAGGGGGGTGGTTGAGGGAGTGAGTGAGTGAGTGAGTGAGTGAATGAAGGGGGGGGAGAAGGTGGTAAAGCCCCGGAGGGCCCCATCTCGTGGGTGCTGCTGGACGTGCGGAACAACATGGTGGTGGCGGGTGAGTGAGGGAGTGAGTGAGGGTGGGGAAGTGTGGGGGGTTGATGGGGAATGCAGTCAGAGAGGGAGGAAAATCAGGTTGTAAAGGCCCTGAGCCCCATCTCGTGGGTACTGCTTGATGTGCGGAACAACGTGGTGGTGGCGGGTGAGTGAGTGAGTGAGTGAGTGAGGGATGGATTAAGTGAGGGTGGGGGTGTCAAGGCTGACCCCAGAGGGCCCCATCTCGTGGGTGCTGCTGGACGTGCGGAACAATGTGGTGGTGGCTGGTGAGTGAGGGAGTGAGTGAGTGAGTTAGGGGGGGAGTGAGGTAGGGAGCGAGAAAGAGAGTGAGCAAGTAATCCAGGGGCCATAGTTGAGTGAACACATCTCCACCCTTGGCCCTTCCCACACCATTGTACTATCCACTTCCACCAGTTGTTGAATTGTAATGTTGTGAGTTTCCGTGTGTTGCCTCCACCACCCTACGTCTTCCTTACTGTTGATCACATCCCCGTAATTGTCCTTTCTCACCTCTCCTATCCCAGGCGCCAGCACCTCTGCATGCCTCAAGTTTTGAGTCGACACAAAACTTCCCTACGTCCTCCCTTTTGTTGATCACATCCCTTTGTTGTCCATCTCACCTCCTCTATTCCAGGCGCCAGCACCCCAGCGTGCCCCACGAAGCTCATGCTTGGGCGGGTGAATGCCGGGTGGCTCAAGCAGGAAGGATGGCTGTGGTCCGAGATTTCACCTCCCCATGTCGAGTATGCTGACGCGGTGAGTGCTGACAGTGCAAGATGATGGGCTGCTGCTGATTTGAGGTGAGGTGAGATATAAGAGATACTCCAGTCAGGATCAAGCAGGAGGTGTGGCAAGACAGGAGGTGGTGTGTGATGTGATTTGGCTGGATGTGATGTGATGTGATGTGATGTGATGTGATGTGATGTGATGTGATGTGATGTGATGTGATGTGATGTGATGTGATGTGATGTGATGTGATGTGATGTGATGTGATGTGATGTGATGCAAGACACTCGATTCGGTGTTGAAGAGTGAGATGCCGATTTGTGTCCAACGTTGGACAATCACTTAGCACCATATGCTGTGCGGTGCTGTGTGGTGCGGTGCTGTGCTGTGAGGTGCTGCCTGTCTGTCTGGCTACCGATCTGCCTGTGCTGCCTGCACCGATATTCACAGGTGGAGAATGCACTCTCAAGTCAATGGAGTTTGAGGTCATTCTTATTGTGCCCTCTGTCTCACCACCAGTCCCCCCACCCCTGTGCCCTGTGTGTGTTGTGTGCGCTGCCTGTGCTGCATGCACTATTCTTCACAGGTGGAGAATGCACTCAAATCAACGGAGTTTGAGGTCATCCCCATTGTGCCTTCTGTGTCCAAGGCGCAGGGTCTGACTGAAGGTGTGTGGGGATGGTGGAGAGAGGAAGAGTTATTGAAGCCGTGACAAGAATAGGGAAAGGAAAGTGCGTGCAGGAAGTCCGAGGTCATCCCCATTGTGCCTTCCGTGTCCAAGGCGCAGGGTCTGACTGAAGGTGCGTGGGGGAGGGGAAGTGTAGGGGACAAGGAGAGGCGGGGAAAGCACTCGCCACGTGTACATGCAGGAGGGGAGGTAGCGAGACTCTGTGAGTTTTTTTAAAAGGTGTAAACGTGTGTGCGTTGTGTACATTGTGCTGCCCGCGTATCTAACGCTCACATTTTTGGAATCTCCCAAACTTTTTCCTTCTCGTTTTCCCCTCTTCCCCCACTCCACTCCAGACGCCAAGCAGCCGTTTGAAGCCATTTTCGTGAGAAGACAGCCCGAAGCCGCTGCTGCTGCCCCCCCACAGGCTGAGGGCAAGGTGGCACCTGCCCCAGCTTCACCTGCCGCGCTGCCTCCACTGCTGGTGGTGCCGCATGGGGGCCCAGCCGCACCTGCCGCCATGCATTCTCAAGTTTCCGCCCTTCTTCTCTGCCCTCTTCCTCCCTCCACCCATTCTTCCCTCCAACAGGCGCCAAGCAGCCATTCGAAGCCATTTTCGTGAGAAGACAGCCCGAAGCCGCTGCTGCACCCCCACCGGCTGGAAGCAAAGTAGCACCTGCCCCAGCTGCACCTGCCGCGCTGCCCCCGCTGCTGGTGGTGCCTCATGGGGGCCCACACGGCGTCAGCACGACCAACTTTGTGATGCCCTATGCGTACCTGTGCGCCCTGGGCTATGCTGTGCTGCACGTTAACTACAGGTGAGTTGGGTGTGGGTCTAAAGGCTGGGTCCCTATGGGGATGGGTCAAACCACCCCCCCCCCAAACACACGGCGTCAGCACGACCAACTTCGTGATGCCCTATGCGTACCTGTGTGCGCTGGGATATGCAGTGCTGCACGTCAACTACCGGTGAGCGGGGTGTGTGTGTCTAAAGGGGAGGGTCCTGGTGGGAATGGTGCGCCCTCCCCACGGGTTCAGCACAGCACCACCAACTTCGTGATGCCCTATGCGTGCCTGTGCGCCCTGGGATATGCCGTGCTGCACGTGAACTACAGGTGAGCTGGGCGTGGGTCTAAACGGGTAGGACCCCATGGGGATGGATGGGTCAACCCCCCCCACACACACACGGCGTCAGCACCACTGCACTCGTGATGCCCTGTGCGCGCTTGCATTTAATCTATTCCCCCACGTGTGTCTGCAGGGGGTCGCTTGGGTTTGGAGAGGAGGCGCTGCAGTCCCTGCCAAAACACATTGGACGGCAGGTAGGCCGAGTTGGGCGGCAGGTGAGCCGAGTTGGGCGGCAGGTGAGCCGAGTTGGGCGGCAGGTGAGCCGAGTTGGGCGGCAGGTGAGCCGAGCTGGCCGGCAGGTGAGCCGAGCTGGGTGGCAAGAGAGCCAGATTTGGGTGGCAGTACAAGGTATGCAGATTTTTGTGTATTGCTGCGATTGGCTGCTCAATGCTTCTTGCACTGCTGCGATTGGCTGCTCAATGCTTCTTGCACTCTGAACCCATTCCAACTTTCCACTCTCCATTTCTTCGCAGTAATGACTACCCATCTTTTCCCTCTTTCCCCCGCCAGGACGTGGCTGACGAGTTGACGATTTTGTTCATTCTGGCTCTCTAACAGCCAGGACAAGTTAACACTGACAGCACTACCCATCTTTTCCCTCTTTCCCCCATCAGGACGTAGCTGACGTGGTGGAGGCAATCGATCGGGTGGTGGAGCTGGGGTATGTGGTGCTGGGAGCTCCTTTATCCACCTCCACGCTTCCTCCTCTCCTTCTCCCCCCCCTCTCCCCCAACCTCCGCCTCTCCCCCCCCATCCCCCATCAGGACGTGGCCGACTTGTTGGAGGCGATTGATCGGGTGGTGGAGCTGGGATATGTGGACGCTGCCCGCATGGCTGTGATTGGTGGATCGCACGGTGGCTTCCTTGCCGGGCACCTTATCGGGCAGGTGAGAAACTTCTGGCTGAATCTGGCGGGAAGGGAGGTGAGTGCGTAACTTAAAATCGTTCCTGCAGTGTAACCTGGTTACCAACCTAACAAGCATGGTTACCACCACTCTTGCAAGCATGGTTACCACCACTCTTGCAAGCATGGTTACCACCACTCTTCCAAGCATGGTTACCACCACTCTTCCAAGCATGGCTATCCTGGACGGGTCCTCTCATTCTTTTCCTTGCTCCGCCGCCGCTCTTTATTGAACCTCTAACCTTCCCACCCCATCCCCTTGTCAGGAACCCAATCGCTCCCGCACGGTGATCCTGCGTAACCCGGTTACCAACCTGGCCAGCATGGTCAGCACCACCGACATCCCTGATTGGTGCTCTCATCTCATCCCTTCCTCTCCTCCCCTTGCAAGCCCCCATCACTCCCCATTCCCCCTGTCAGGAGCCCGATCGCTCCCGCACTGCGGTCCTGCATAACCCGGTTACCAACCTGGCCAGCATGGTCAGCACCACCGACATCCCTGATTGGTGCTCTCATCCCTTTCCTCTCCCCCTCCCTCTTTAACCTTGTGTTCATGCTCAGAAGCCCGATCGCTTCAGCACAGCTGTGCTGCGTAACCCGGTTACCAATCTCGCCAGCATGGTGGGCACCACTGACATCCCTAATTGGTTCTCCTAGCCTTCGCTTCCTCCCGCTCTTTCCGTCCCCCCCTGTTTTACCTTATTTTCCTGTTCAGGAGCCCGATCGCTTCCGTACGGCCGTGCTGCGTAACCCGGTTACCAATCTCGCCAGCATGGTCGGCACCACCGACATCCCTGATTGGTGCTTCGTGGAGGCCTTCGGCCAGCCTGGCATGGCCGCCTTCTCTGATTCGCCGACTGCTGCCGAGCTCCAGACCTTCCTGAAAGCGTCTCCTATTGCCTATGCATCCAAGGTACGCGCCTCTCCTCTTCTTTCCTACACACTGGGCACATCTGTCAGCCACCCCTTGCTGGCATGTCCGCCTTCTGTTATTCGAAGCAAGGTACCAGCTCTGTTCGTCCTTGGCGAGGAGAGACTGCAGAATTTCGCTGAAGCCTTCAAGACTGCCTGCTTTCGGCTCCTCCACCACTTCCTTCTTCTCGTCTCCCTGCTTTCTCTCCTCCACCCTCGCACAGATTGAGGTGCCGACTCTGTTCATCCTTGGCTTGAGGGACCGCAGAATGCGACTCTGTTCAACCTTCAAGACTGCCACACACACCCCTCTCCTCCACCACTTCCTTCTTCTCGTCTCCCTGCTTTCTCCCCCCTCGTGCAGGTGAAGGTGCCGACTCTGTTCGTCCTAGGAGGGAAGGACCTGCGCGTGCCATCTTCAAACGGGCTGCAGGTGAGTCGCTTGGAAAAGTTCAGCCATGCTGCGCTTGTGTGCGAGAGGGCTCATCCAACTGCGAAAGGGCTCATCCAACTCAAAAGTCACCTCGTTGCTGCGCTTGTGCGCGAGAGGGCTCATCCAACTGCGAAAGGGCTCATCCAACTCAAAAGTCACCTCGTTGCTGCGCTTGTGCGCGAGAGGGCTCATCCAACTGCGAAAGGGCTCATCCAACTCAAAAGTCACCTCGTTGCTGCGCTTGTGCGCGAGAGGGCTCATCCAACTGCGAAAGGGCTCATCCAACTCAAAAGTCACCTCGTTGCTGCGCTTGTGCGCGAGAGGGCTCATCCAACTGCGAAAGGGCTCATCCAACTCAAAAGTCACCTCGTTGCTGCGCTTGTGCGCGAGAGGGCTCATCCAACTGCGAAAGGGCTCATCCAACTCAAAAGTCACCTCGTTGCTGCGCTTGTGCGCGAGAGGGCTCATCCAACTGCGAAAGGGCTCATCCAACTCAAAAGTCACCTCGTTGCTGCGCTTGTGCGCGAGAGGGCTCATCCAACTGCGAAAGGGCTCATCCAACTGTGCAATCCGGTGCATGTGCTGCGTGTGATGAGTCTATTTGAGGTGGCTTTTTAGTCGACTCAAAATTCACCTCGTTGCTTGCTGCGCTTGTGTTCGAAAGGGCTCATCCAGCTGTGAAATTCGGTGCATGTGCTGCGGGGGAGTTGTCATGTGACATGTGGTGCGTGTGATGAGTCTATTTTTCAGTCGACTTATCCATCTGTCACATAGCTGTAATCTGGTGCATGTGCTGCGGGGGAGTTGCCATGTGACATGTGCTCGAAAATTCTTCGTGTTGCATGTGCTGCAAGCAACGGCTGAAAGCTCGAGTCTTCTTCACGCTTCTTGTCTGTCTCACCCCTCCTCGCCTCCTCCCCTCCTCCCCTCCCCCCCCTCCTCCCCTCCTCACCCCGTCCCCTCCTCCCCTCCCCCCGTCCCCCCCTTGCATCTTCCCTCACCTCCCCAGAGCTGGTGCATGCGTTGCGGGCGCAAGGGCTGGAGGCTCGAGTGAATATAGAGTTGACTCGGATTTCATATTTCCCCACAATTACCATCTGCCTCCCCATCCGCCCCACAGTTGGTGCATGCGCTGCGAGCGCAAGGGCTGGAGGCTCGAGTGCTCAACTTATTGTCCGTCGAACCCCTTCTTCTTGCCTCTTCCCTACTCCTTCCTCCCCTCCCTCCCCTCCTCCCCATCTGTCCTGCAGTTGGTGCATGCGCTGCGGGCTCAAGGGCTGGAGGCTCGAGTGTTGATGATGCCAGAAGATGTTCACGCCATTGATAAGTGAGTGATGGGCTAGTGATAAGTGAGTGATGGGCCATTGATAAGTGAGTGATGGGACATTGATAAGTGAGGATGGGCCATTGATAAGTGAGTGATGGGACATTGATAAGTGAGGATGGGCCATTGATAAGTGAGTGATGGGCCGTTGATAAGTGAGTGATGGGCATTGATAAGTGAGTGATGGGGCATTGATAAGTGAGTGATGGGGCATTGATAAGTGAGTGATGGGCATTGATAAGTGAGTGAAGGGCCATTGATAAGTGAGTGATGGGCTAGTGATAAGTGAGTGATGGGCGATTGATAAGTGAGTGCTGGGCCATCAACAAGTGAGTGATGGGCCATTGAGAAGTGAATGATGGGTCATTAATAAGTGAGTGATGGGTTGTTCTTAAGTGTGTGAGGGGCCATTGGTAAGTGATGTACAGTAAGAAAAACCCATTGTGACACTTCTCAGAACATGCAAAAGGTACAGGCTCAGGTGTTTATCATGATGACACAAGATGCCATATGTGATCAAGGGGAGTTGATAAGGGCGTATCTCAGTTCCGGTCATGGGCACTGTTTGGGTCATCCGAGATTCTTGGAGGACCAATAAGGCGCATTTCAGCTACACTACTGAAATACCATTGGTGCTCCCATGACCCAAAGTGGGCTTTGATGACCCAAAGTGGCGTTATGACCCAAACTGAGATACGCCCTAAGTAAAGTGAATGTGGGGCATTGATGATACATGCACGATGGATGTTACTAAAGAGTTATTAATTGCCACTTTTCAATCCGCGTCCCCCCTCCTCCTCCCCACCGTGTTCCCCATTCATTCAGGCCCCAGAGCGAATTTGAGCAATGGATCACTGTGGCTTCATGGCTCAAGCAGCACCTCTAAACAATGGCCTTCTTGGGCTTGCGCAATACTTTGTTTTGACAGTTGAATTTGGGTTAACCGAAGAGAACTGGTTTGGGAAACATGAGTGGTTGCAGGCAATCACAACACAAGAACGCGTATGGAATGGAAAGCAATCCGAGGAAATGGTTATTGAGAAATCTTGAAAACCAACTGATTTCATTTGCAAGCGTGGAAAGCAACACATGCAGCAGTCTTTGATGGGCTTGTGCTGTGGATATCGGGCCATTGTGAAAGCTTGCTTTCTGCAACTTGTAAAGGCATCGTGCTTCATTTCATATGGGTATGAGTACATCAATCTCGTCCAATGATAACTACGATTACAGCAAGAATCTTAGAGACAATTACTACATGGGTGGGAGGGTGGGAAACTCGAACTTTGAAATTGAAAAGAAGAACGTGGGTGAGGCCAAATGGCCTCAACCCCCTCTTTTGTAGCCAAAAGAGGGCGAGTAGCGACGCGACGCTGCCTTTGCTGCGTTGGCAATCGCTACACTTTCACTGTACACAATTTTTGAAAAGTGTTACACACTTTTAAAAATTTACATATTGTGAAAGCTTGCTTTCTGCAACTTGTAAAGGCATCGTGCTTCATTTCATATGGGCCTTCTGAAACATGCGGGTGGTCGGTCGGCGATGCCGCTGGATCGACAATTGGTGCTGGTTCGGGGAGGGCGCCCGTGTAGGATCCTGAATCAGCTGGGAGGCAGCCACAAGTTGGTCGTGGGCGATGGTGACGTAGAGGTCTTTTGCGCTGTCGCTGCGCCAACGGCCCAGCCGCTTGAACATCCTATCTGAGACTCCGATGCCTGCCGCCGTCGTTGCTGCTCCTTTGCGGAAGGAGTGTGTGCCAAGGTGGTTGGCGTCGAGGCCAACTTTTTGAAATGCTTCCAAGCACCAATTGCGAACAGTTGGGTACGAAGGCGCGTGGTCGTGTGGAGTTGCTTTGGAGTCCCGTGTGAACACCCGTATCAGTGGTCCTTTGGTCGACGCGTCATAGCCGGCAAGCGAGATGAACCGTCTGGTGATCTTTACTGGGCAATATGGTCCGGGTGTAGTCCCGATTGGGACCCATATTCCCTTGCCTTTTTGGTCCGTTTTGGAGTGGGGAATCAGTAGCCACATTGCCGCCTCCTCAAACTGGATGTCTTGCCACTGAATTGCGATGAGGTCCGAGAAGCGGAGAAAGCCCGTATACATGAGCAGTGGGATGAGGCCTTTCTGGAATACGGAGGGAGTGTCAGATGCGATGAACTCGTGTGTCATCTTGTGAACCTGGTGAAGAGACACGGGTTCTTTAGTCCTGTTCGGGCGCGGGGAGTGGCGCTTGGCGAATTCTCGGACTTGGGATGTGAAGGGGCCGTTCGTGGGACAAGTAAGGCCAGTCATCTTGTGTGCAAATGCGACTGCCGAACAGGTCAGCGTGATGGCGGACAAGGTGGCGTGCTTGTTGAGGGCGTATACCAAGTACAGCGCGAGTGTCAAGTCTGTGGCGGGTAGGTAGCTCAGTGATAGCTTGTTACAGAATGATCTGAATTTTCTCCAGTAGGGGTCGTTGGTGCGGATTGTTGAAGGAGCTCGTACTTGGCTAATTACCAAGAGGAGTTGCTTTTGAAGGTTGGATAAAATCTCTGCCATACATGGAATATATATGAGTTACATTGTAAAGTCAATGGACAATGCAATAATCGGACTATTGGGAAATCCAGTGCCTGAGAATGCGGCAGTGTGTGTGTCCGGTTGGAGGCACTGACTCCCGCTTGCAAGGCGAAGGTGGCTAGTAATTCCTATGGCCCATGTTTGAGGAGCCGGTTGCACTAGGGGCCACCAGGCTGCCCCTGACCACTCGGGGATCACCAGGGTTAGCTTTGCACGTGTGCGACGCGCGTGATGGAGAGTTGCGGGGACGAGGTGGGGGGGCGGAAATGCGAAGCCCCGTTCCCCATGCCAATCCTTGGAGAATGCGTTGATGGCCTCGGCTCGCGGGTGAGGGACTTTAGAGAAGAAACGAGGCAGCAATGCGTTCTGTGCATTTGCGAACAAGTCGACAGAGTGAGGCCCCCACCGACGGTCCAAGAGACGAAACCAAGGTTGTTTCAACGTGTAGTCATCGTGGTCTTGCAGCTTTGAGAGCTCGTCCGCGCAAGTGTTCTGGTCTCTGGGAATCCATTCGATGGCTAGTCGCACCGCGTTGTCTGTGCATAGAGTGATGACCTCTTTGCAAGTGAGCGTGAGCTCGTTATTGCGCGAGCCGCCTTTTCGTAGGATGAACATGACCCCTTGGTTGTCCACGCGGATTAACGTGTGGCCGTGTCGAAGACGGTCAATGAATGTGCGTAGCGCCCAGAGCACGCCTTCCAACTCGCGTCGCGTACTTGAGGTTGGCCACAGATTGTCGGGCATGCCAGCGCTTGCGTTGCTCGGTGTTCCGTGAAAAGTAGAGAGGGTGGCTCCCCAGCTGTGCGCGCTGGCATCCACCTGGATGATGGCGTCGTAGTGATGCGGATGGTGGAATGGTGCACCGTTGAAACGGTCGAACTGTTCCATCCAGAAGTGCAATTCATGGATGGCCTCTGTTGACAACGACACCTTCGAGTGCCATGAGGGCGCGTTGTTGATAAGTTGCAATAGCTCGTGACTGAAGGCTCGTGCGTAGCGCCCAGAGCACGCCTTCCAACTCGCGTCGCGTACTTGAGGTTGGCCACAGATTGTCGGGCATGCCAGCGCTTGCGTTGCTCGGTGTTCCGTGAAAAGTAGAGAGGGTGGCTCCCCAGCTGTGCGCGCTGGCATCCACCTGGATGATGGCGTCGTAGTGATGCGGATGGTGGAATGGTGCACGGATGGCCTCTGTTGACAACGACACCTTCGAGTGCCATGAGGGCGCGTTGTTGATAAGTTGCAATAGCTCGTGACTGAAGGCTCGTGCGGTTGCGCCCAAAGCGAGGCTCATGGAAGCAAGCATTCCAGTCACTCGAGCGATTTGACGGACGTTCACGTGGTGACCGGCGCGTCCGGAATCGATGAGACTTGTGATTGTAGCTCGTAAGAGGGGGCGCCGTTCTTCTCCGACCGAGAATTTCCCGACTTGTGTGTTCAACTCGAGTCCGAGGAAGCGGAGCTCCTGTGTGGGGACCAGACGCGACTTTTTCTCGTTGATTACAATGCCGGCGTCCCTCAGGTCCCTTACGATCCGTGCGCATGCGGCTCCCGCTTGTTGTGTGGTCTCTGCCAGGATCAGTATATCATCCACATACGGAATAACCCGCCACCCGAGAGATCGCCATCGTCGGGCCAGCTGTTTGATGAGTTGCGTGAAGATGAAAGGGGCCGTGGCCAGACCGAATGGCAGGGATTGGAAGAAGTAGTAGTTGCCTTCGAACTGGAATCCCAAGTAACTTCCAGCAGGTGGGATGGATGTCCACGTGATGATATCCTGACTTGAGATCAACCGATAGCATCCAGTCGTTTGGCTGGATCAACTCCGCTACACGGGCGAGGCCTTCGTACTTGAATTTAGGGATGCACAAGTGCTCGTTGACCTTCCGCAGGTCGAGGATGAGCCGACATTTTTCTCGCTGTTCGACCACATTGAGTGGGCTAATGCATAGTAGGGTTGATCGGTCAGAAGCTTTTGCCGCTGCTCCTGTTCGCAGGAGGTCCTGAATGGCATCGCGTGTGAAATCCGAATGCTTCTGGGCGCCTGCGTGGTTTTTCCTTTCGAAAGGTGCCGGGGGCCCATCCTTCCATGGGAACCAATATCCATGTGAGATAATAGATAGGATGAGGCTACTATCGCACCAGGAGCGCCACCAGTGTAGTGCTTGGTGGAGCCGTCCTCGCATTATAAACACAGTCTTGTCGGTTATTGCGTATTCATATGTTGCGAGCGTCGTCCCGATCCAACGGTTGTCAATTTCTGCGTGGGGTTTTCATGCACAATCGGCTATCCCACAAAATTAGCGCGTGCGTGAGCAGGTGAGTGACATCAAGCCGCGCTCTTGGGCGCCGTGCCTTTGCACGAGTGCAACCACGTGTGTGGATGTGCGTGTGCCTTGCGTTATGTGTGTTAGTGTGTGAGTGTGCCTGTGTGTGTATGTGTGTGTATGTGCGTGTGAAAGTATGTGTGTGAGTGTCTGTGTGTGTGGGTGGGTGTGCGTGTGCGTGGGTGTGTGTGTGCATGTGAGTGTCTCTCTCTCTCTCTCTCTCTCTCTCTCTCTCTCTCTCTCTCTCTCTCTCTCTCTCTCTCTCTCTCTCTCTTTCGCTCTACTTCTATGGGCGTGATATGCCCTTGTGCTCCGTGAACCGCCTCGAGACCAGCCGTCATGTGGTCTGGCCTTCGTGGTGGGCTTGAAAGACTTGGCCCCATGTGCACTCGCACGTATCCACGCACGTGGGCGAGTTGCGGTTGCGTGATTGCTATCTTTAGTTAGTTAGTGTTTTTGCGTTGCACGGCTCGGCTTGCACCTAGTGGGGTGCGGTTCAGGAGCCCAAATGTTCTATGCAATGTGGTGCGCGAGAAAAACAAGAGAAGGAGACGACAAAATTTCTCTTTCTCTCTCTTTTCTCTCTCTCTCTCTCTCTCTCTCTTTTTTTTTGAGACGTGGGTGTGAACAACCACACAATACACAATCCTCCATGATTTTTCCTGGGTCCTCCTGGACCTTGATGGGTCTCTTCATGCGTGATGAGGCTCGCGCGTCCCGTGATTTCGTATTAAGGTGTATGAACCTTTCGGCTCGATTTTTCTCATCCTTTTGTTTTTTTTTTTTTTTTTTTTTTTTTTTTTGCTTTGCACTGGTTGTTTGCTGGTTGCCCTCATCATAATGCAGCCCATCCTTGAGCTACCAAATTGAAGTAAAACAACAAACGCTTCCATAGGCAAATTATCATCACATAATAGTCATTTCTTGCGAAAGTACACAAATGCACCAATAGCTAATGGCCCCTAGGGCTCAACCTTGGGCCCCCTAGCCCTTAGTTCCTTAGGCTGCTCCTCAGCCTTGCACCCCCTGGTGCAGCCCCGTTATGTCCTTTTGACATAAGGGGAAAGGGCTCCGCCCTTTGGTCCCTCACACCACGGGTGTGGGGCCTTGGCCTCCACGCCCCCCCATGGGGCAGGCGTTCGCCATGTGGCCAGGCTGGCCGCAGCGAAAACAAGTACCCTTGAAGGTCCTCTCCTGGCAAGAGCCTTGCCCGGAGCCTTTGTTGCCGAGTTCGCCGGCGTTGAGGCCACCCCCGCGGGTGGGACGGTTGTAGGTCATGCGAGCGCGCTTCGACGCGGCCACGTCGGCCACGGCCAGCTTGTACGAACGGGAGGTCAGCACACTCTTGGACTGGTAGAGCTGGAAGCGGTCGGCCGCCTCGAAGCCCGCCTCGTCCGCCACCAAGAGCACCTCAAATCGCTTGTTAATGAGCGACTCGATTTGAGAAATGTTGGTGCGAGCGCCTTCCGCATCGCCTTGCTGGAGCTTGAACTCAATGTGCCTGAGGTGGGCCTGGATAGCAGAGAAAACCTCTGCCTGGTCGCGTACGCCCTTGCGGTTGAACGTGGAGTTTGTGGTTGCGGGGTTGAGGGGGGGAAGCGTAGAGCAAGAAGCATGAGTAAAAATTGGGTTGTGACGGCGAGGGGAGGCCTCACCATCAGCGTCGTCCGACTCGTCGCTGTCGTCTTCGACGGGAGCGGGGGCCGGGTCCTTCTCGATGCGGGCAGTCTTGGGAGGACGCGGTGCGACGGCGGGAACTTCTTCTTTCTTCTTATCATATTTTGCAGAAGTTGTAGCGTCCTCGTTTTTTGAAGTCCCCGCCGTAACAGGCGCGTGCTGCTGTAACAGCGCCAGTAGTGCTTGCAGTTGCGCCGGGTTGAACGCGGGGTTGGGGTCGGTCGTGGCTGGCGTGTGGCTCGAGGGTGCTGGCGCGTGCTGCTTGACACGCGCGCCTGAGGGGCTCGAGGTGGTGGTCAAGACAGCCGCGTCAGCGGTTGTCTTTTTCGCCACTTCGCGCGGCTGCCTGGAAGCCGCGCGAGGGGCGGAAGGCTCCTCGGAAGGCGCCGGGGAGCCTCCGCCCAGCAGGACCTCGACGCCAGTGGCGAGGTCCTCGCGTGACTCCTCGGCAGCCCGTTTCGGTCGACGGGCGGTTGTCCCGGGCAGAATGTTGGCGTTCGCGGCGACGGGAGTGTCTGTCGCCTTATTTCCCTCGCGATTAGCAGTGTTGTTCGCCGGCGCCATGGCTCCGATGTTGTACTTAAAAATATCCGCAAGTAGAGTCGTCGGGGCGGTGAAGCGAGGGAGGGACTGCGTCTTCGCCAGACTGGACGAGATTGAAAACTCGAACTTTGAAATTGAAAAGAAGAACGTGGGTGAGGCCAAATGGCCTCAACCCCCTCTTTTGTAGCCAAAAGAGGGCGAGTAGCGACGCGACGCTGCCTTTGCTGCGTTGGCAATCGCTACACTTTCACAATACACAATTTTTGAAAAGTGTTGCACACTTTTAAAAATTTACATATTGTGATGGAATTTCTTTTCAGACTTGAAAGAGCAGCTTGTATTGTATTGTATCTCTGGATGGTGGATGGGGTGCTAAAGATGTTGTCACAACAACTGAGAACCCCCTGTATCGTGGAACAACCCATATGCAAGCTTTTATCTCTTACTGTACACTGGTTTTACTGCTTATCTGCAATCATGTACTACGACCAGCTGTTATCATGTACAGTGTTGTCTTATGTTCTATGATCTACAAATTAAATGCAGATATTGTCAATTAGATAGAAATTCCTCTGCAAATTTTGAAGGCATCAGGTTTCAGGTAATGACTGTTGGTAAGAATCGCTGTTAGTTCAACTGTGCAGTAGCATCGTTGGCTGCAGTGGCGAATATTCCTGAGCCATCCGCTGCGTCTGCTGATGCTTTGGTAACCATGTAACCACCATCACCACTGCCACCACCTCCACTCTCGCCACTTTCGCCACCACCACTGCTGCTGCTGCTGCTGCTGCTGCTGCTCCCGACATTACCACTCTTGCTGCCAGTGCTGCTGCTGCCAAAGCCACTACTGCTAAACCCAGTCTCTGGTGTGACTATATGGGGGGTGGTCTCGATTATTAGCGGGCCGCCTAACACCTGCGTAACAACCATGGGCCAGCGGGGAACAGAGAGAGCCACGACCTGCAGCAGAATACCGAGAAGCGCTATAAAGAGCGCAAGAATGCTGATTGCCCCTATTGATACACCTCCCCCACTAGTGAAGAAAGAAAATCCGTTAGTAGCAGCACCAGTACTAGCACTGGTGCTGAAACGCCTGGTAGTGTTGCGAGTATAGAATGGGCTGGTGCGGATAAGGCTGCTAGAATGGATGTTGCTGGTGCTGTAACCGTTGCTGCTTCTGCGGTTTCTAGTGGCTTGCACGCAGGCAAAATGGCGGGCGCAGTTGGGTGGGCAGGCGGAGCAGGAGGAGGAGGAGGTGGAGGAGGAGGTGTTAGGGGTGGTATTTGTGGTGGAAGAAATGAAAAAGATGGAGTTTACCCAAGTGATGAGGTGTAGTTTCAGCTGATGCTGCTGAATCCAACTGGAACTTCGTGGTAAGGAGGACGGGAGCTTAGTAAGAGAACGATCACTTCTTCCTCCTCCTCCTCCACCGCCTACCCTTGATGTGCCTGCTTGTGTGGCATACTGCTGCTGTTGGCATGGTTGCTGCAGGCTTGCATCCTCAGACGCTCCTATCCCGGTCCCCCCCTTTTCATTAAAGCCCGATGATGCTTCGCTGCGACTGCGGGGTGACTGGGATACTTCCACCCCTCTCAGAGGGGGAGGTGCGAATCTTACCCACGGCCGGTCAGAAAGAAACTTTTTGGAAGAACCGAAGGGGGCAGATGAGTTGACATCAGGAGGGTGTGATTGTAGCGAAGACTGGGAGGAGGAGGAGGGTAAGGAGGGGACAAGGATAGAGGTGGGGGAGGAGAGGGAGGAACGAGAGGAGGGAGCGGAGGAGGACGAGGGGAAGGGGAAGGAGGAGGACGATGAAGAGGAGGTGGTGGTGGTGGTAGTGGTGGTGTTGGTGGGAGGGGAGGGTGTGGCTGATGCTGACGTGGAGGATGGTGATTGGGCGAAGGAGAGGATCCATGGGTGCTGCAGTAATTCCTGGATAGAAGCACGTGATTGGCGATTTCGGTCCAACGCCCGTTTTAAGAACGAGATGCAAAGAGGAGATAGCAATGGTTTCCCGTGAACCTTTTCATTACCAGCTGATACTGTTGGTTTAAACCCGGGCAGGGTGTCCAGCGGGCAGGTCAAAATGTTTTTGCAGGTCGCTTGCCTGCCCGGCACTTCAAACGGCGGGCGACCCATCTGCAACTCGTACGCCAGAATTCCGCACGCCCAAACGTCAACTTTTTCATCATAGGGCAACGCGATTCGGTAGGCCTCTTCCTGACAAATGATTGGTCGATCCATCCCAAGAGGCATGCACGGAGCCGCGTGCTCGCGTCGCGAATCGTCCCCCCCGTCCCTAACCCCACCCCCGCCCCCATCGCCCCCTATTCCCCCGTCCGCTTCCCCCTTTCCCCCGTGCGATTTCCCCACGCCGAAATTCCAATTCCTTCCACTAGACTGTCGCGCGATCGAAAGCTTTTTCGATTTCTGCCTCTGCAGCTTCGACCCTTGCGCGAAACCCTGACTCTCCGCGGGTTCCGCGGAACTGCCGCGCGCAGCACTACTGGCGCCCGCGCTAGCGCCATCCGCGGAAGCGTTAGCGGAAGCGGAAGCGGAAGCGGAAGAGGCGGAAGGAACCGCCTGAAGCAGCTCGGGCGCCATGTAATCAAGAGTGCCGACGCGCGCGCCGGGCAGATCGCGCATCGTGCAGATCGCGAGGCCGAAATCAGCGAGTTTCAGCTGCCCGTCCGCCGCAAACAAAATATTCTCGGGTTTCACGTCGCGATGGATTATCGCGTTCGCGTGCAGAAATCGCAGGATTAGTAACAGCGGCGACATGATTTCGCGAACGACTATCGCCTCCGGCATCTGCCCGCAAAACTCGTTCATCAGCCTCTGATAAACGTCCCCTCCTGCGGCGAATTCTTCCACGATAACCGTCTGCTTCCGCCTCCGCTTCCCCCGACTCCCCCCGCCCGGACTACCGCGCTCGCCGCCGCTCTTTCCCCCACTCTTCTCCCCGCTCTTCCTCCCGCTTTTTCCCCCGTTTTTTCCCGCGCTTTTCCTCCCGCTCTTCCCGCCACTCTTGCGAAAAAGTCCGCCGTGACCCAACCGGTTCTTACCCTTCCCGCCTCCCCTGCTGTTCGCGTCGATCGCACTCTCGATCTTGCTCGCGTCGTCGACGAAGCTTCCGAGAAAGCCGATTGCGTGTTTGTGTCCGCGCGTCTGTCGCATGCACCAGATCTCCCGCTCGACCTGCTTCTGCATCGCAGCCGTCTGATGCCGGGCAGAATAAATTTTCAGCACGACTCGCCGACCGGTCCTGCAGTGTGTCGCGGCATATACGGTCGCCCACCGCCCTCGCCCGACCATTTTCAGGTCGGCGAAATCCGCGACGGAGTTACAGGGCGTTAGCGACCAATCGACAGACTTGGACGATTTGCTGTGCGATCGCCGATGCTGCTTGCGCGATGAAGAGGAGGCACCACCACCAGCGCTATCATCGCCATCACCAGCAGCACCAGAAGCACCACCCGCAGCGGACGCGTCAACTTCGCGGTTGCTTCCCGCAGCGCCACCGGCGCCGCCGTCTCGGGCCGTTACAAGGTCGCCCGAATCACCGTCGATTTCCGAATCGGGGGTTAACGTGCCACCGTCAAGTCCCCAGCAACGCCGCGGCTCGGCGGGAGACCAGCCGGTAGCGTCCGCCGGCCAACATTGGCGCGCGACACGGCTGAAATGATCACGGCACCGTTGGAGCAATCTTGGCCGTTGATTGTCAGCCGGGGGGTTGCTGTGAGAGCCAGGGAAGGAGCCAAGAGAGGGGGAAAGAGCGGGAGGTAAAGAGAAGAGGATGAGGGTGAACGAAAGAAGGGGCGGAGGGAGGCAAACGGGGACGAAAAGAGGGGAAGAGTGAAGATGGGGGGTTGGAAGACGATAACACGCGGAACCACTCGTTGGCGCAGCAGCCGTCGGAAGACGAAAATGCGGCGGAGGGGAAACGAAGACGAAGCGGGAAAGGCGGGAAAGGAGGAAAACGAGGAAGGGGGAAAGGGGGGAAAGGGGGGAAAGGGGGGGAAAAGGGGAAGGGGGGGAAGATGTGCGGCACGAGGTAACAGGAGGGAGGATATTTCCTCCTACGGATAAAGTGGTTACAAGGGCATCAGATAAATCCAGCTCTTGTTGAGGCCTTTCTAGGTCTTGCCCAAAACTGCCAACATGGTTCAATCTTGCGGGTGGGGAGGCGCCGCAAACGTCGGTTCCATACCTGCGGGTGCTGGTTGGGGTTTGGAGTTCGGTACAGCGAGAGTGACGGCTGAGACGAGTGTGCGCGCACGCCAATCCGCTTGACATCCATCCCATACTGATGCTCTTTAACGCGACCTCGCCAAACACTAGGTAATCTCCTCTGTGGATGCTCTATCTACATATTAGGCAGCCCTGGTATGTGCAGAATTGTCGATGCGCATGTGCTGTGTGGTCAGGTGAGCTGACAGAGGAACGGAGTTAATGCAAGAAGAACTGATCGGAACAAAAATAGCCCTTGGAAACTAGTAGAGCCCCTTCAAAGCTCTGGTGGCAGAGTCCAACGTATGGGATCGGAAAAAAACCATGGATGTAACTTTAGGAGACGGGATTGCCACATACGTCCAGCTTCGGGAAGCTATGAGTGCACCTTCCTCGAACTAACTCCTATCCTACGCGATACGGGAAAAGGGAATGGGTGGCTGTGAAGAGAAGACTGAAGGACCAGAGGGGAACGATGAGCCGCTTTGCAGGAATGCCAGGGAATCCAAGAATGCCTTGGGAAGAATCTAATTTGCCGTCAGTATCCGAAACTGAGTTACGAGTTGCACTTGCTCCTGTCGTGGCACAGCGAAGGCGAACACAACTGTCGCAAGAGTTCGTGGACGGAAGCAAAAGTGTCGCATTCAGCAAGGACCATGCATGAAATACAGATGGCACGGTGCACCCTCGGCACTTTCTTTCCTGGGCTGGACAAATGGCACATGCGTGGCCGTTACTTGGGGTGCGACCCAGGGAAGGGCGCGACGATTACCTTATTTGGTTCGAATGTGCCGAGCCGAGGAGACCTCAGACATGGTTCGGTCGTCAAGGTTTCAGTGTGTTTTAGTTCGGTGCAATTCCTCAAACCGGACCAGAAACAGCTTCGTTCGGTTTGGATGTGACAGAAAATTGAGACCTGGTTCCAGACCTGACCCAGAGCAGTCACGTGTCAATGCCCTACGCCGAAAATGGCAGGCGGGAAATCACGAGCATTCCATTGCCGCGAATGCAGGCACATTGCTTCACTCACAGCAAGTGCCAGAAATAAACTTACCGATGTACTGTAAAATGGCGGTATTAGTGTTAGTGATTTGTTAAAACATTCAGTGTACTGTAGGAGGTTTCCGTCGCCTGGACCCAATTGATCCCGTCACGGCCTGAATGGTGGCAAGCCCAAGCCTCAGCCCGAGACGCTCCAAACGAAACATCCAAACCAAGCCTGCAAACGCGTTCGGCCCAAAGCTTCCAGCCAGTACCCAGGCCCTTATTCCAGCAAGTTATTCGAAACAATAATACAAAACAAAAACCAATAATCTAACTTGTATAGACTTAAAACCAGGGTGCACATTCAATTGGATTTCTGTCAAAGGTTAACCTTTGACCTCGGGGTTACTCAGTGATTTAGGAATATCTGGGGGGAGTGTTCGCTTCAGCAGGTGAACATTTGAACCCTCGAGATTTGGCAAATGTAAACCGAAGTCATCGAATGTGCTTCCGCCAATTCGTTTCCCCCCTCCCCATACCTATTCCGCTCCCACCGAAATTGTTTCCCCTTCCCCCACAATATCGTCTCACCCCCTTTCCCCTTTCCGCCAACCCAGTTGCCCTCCCCTTGATCCCCAATTTCTAGATCCAAGTGTTATCAATTTCTCCCCTGCCAAGCCTCATCTCTCACGGACGAAAAGCCCCATGCTCGCCCATTCTCAACTATTTATTCGCTACTCGTCAACCAATCAGCAGTTCCCGCAAACATGCCGCCCAAAATTTAGCCTGGAGTCGCGTTGAATGTGTACCCTGGTTTTAACAATCAGAAATTAATCTGGAGGAGGTACTACTATGGTAGGACCAGACAAAAGCTACACTTCCGAAGGCGTTTTTGTAACGAGAGAGTCAACGGCGTGCACTGCGCCTTGAAGCTCCTCCCAGATTGCCCGATACACCATGCGCTGCCTGTCCAAACTGCGCTTCCCTTCAAACAGCTTCGACACCACCTCAATGCTGCCAGCAAAATCATGAAACAAGGTTGGGTACCAAAAGGAAACGGTTTGATAAAATGACGAATTTAAAGCTCGCGTCTCAAATTTCACCCTTCCGACCAAGTGTTAAACGCTTGGGATCCGGTAACAGCTGGGTTTGTCGCAAAGCACACCAAGGCAAGGGGTGGTTTGGGAAGGTTGGTTGGGAGAGGTTTGAAACAGGGCCTCGTTCCAGGCAAAACCAACTCCAAAGGGAAACAACGTGTTGCAAAGTTGGTTGGGACAGGAATACGACAACGCAGGTTGGGAAACACACCTGCACGAACCAATCTACAGGTGTACAGAAAAACGTGCGACAACAGAGGCATCGTCGCACACTTCCCCGTGCAAACCAAGCATTTACAGCTCTCAGAATTATGAGACTCAGAACTCTCAACTTTGACAAAACGGTTCGTGTAGGCACCAGTTCAAGTGTTTTACCAGCCATATGCCACGTCTTTTAGTATAGCTAGCCTTGAAAACTCAGTCGCGATCATGATGTAGGGGAAACCGTGCGCCTATAGACCTTGGCGCATTCCGTGACCCGCATTCTCTAAGCCCGAACACGGGAAAATCATCAAATTTAGCGTGTCCAATCCCCACTTTCGTCCTCTCCTCGCCAAAAACTGCCGGCGTGGGGTTCATCGCCATTCATCAACCGCCCTTATTAGGTGAAAGGGGAAGGTCGCAGTAGCATGAAGGGTGGAAAGGACGATAGGGACGAGCCAAACGCGGCAAACGCGGCAATGGGGCGATATCACCGAAGTCGCGGGACTAAGGCCCGCCGAGTGACGCGGGAAAGGTGTGTACCCTGCCGGTGAGCGCGCGCACACCTCCCTTCAAGGGGCGCGCACCCAGCTGTAAGCAGCGCGCACACCGCAAGCAGCTGAGTGCGCCCCGCTGTAGGCATCACGCGCCACCTGAGCCTCAGCGCTCGCCCCGCTATAGGCATGAGGCGCCTCTTTAGCATCAGCGCGAATGCGCCTGTAATCTCACGCGCCATTCGTCACGTAATCGCGCATGGTGCGGGTATGTCAAGCACTACATGAGAGGGGGGAGGAGGAGAGGACAGAGGGGGGGAGAAGGTGCGCTGAGAGGGGGGAGGAGGAGAGGACAGAGGGGGGGAGAAGGTGCGCTGAGAGGGGGGGAGACCCGGTGCTACCCCTCCTATCCCCCCCTGCTTCTCCTCCTTTCCCCCCGGTGCTACCCCTCCTTCCCTGCTTCCCCCCATCCCCTTCCCTGCTTCCCCCCATCCCCTCCCCTTCTTCCCCCCATCCCCTTCCCAGCTTCCCCCCATCCCCTTCCCTGCTTCCCCCCATCCCCTTTCCTGCTTCCCCCCATCCCCTGGCACTCGCACTCTCACTCTCCTTTCCTCCCGCACTCTCTCTCTCCGTCCTCTCCCACTCGCACTCTCCTTCCCCCCACCCTCTGCCCAGTTGTCACCTGCCCTCCCAATGCCTGCCTTTCCCTCCCTGCCCTGCGCTTTCCTTCCCCATCCCTTCTCAACCCTTCCCTTCCTTTTCATGCCCTCCCCTTCCCCCTCACTCCTCACCTTCCACCCTCTAGTTCCCATGCACGTGCACCCATCACTGTCTCCCCATACATTATTTCATCATGTGCGCTTGCTTGTGTTCCCTTGCAGTTGTTCCCTTGGCACCTCACACCACCTCCCCCATGTTCATTCACACAATTCTTTCTGCCTACTCCACTCCCCTAATTTTCAGTGGTGAAGCAGAAGAGCAAGCTGAGGCGCAGCTAAAGCTAGACCATGCTTTACACCGTACCACCACCTGTTTCTTGTGTGTTGTATGCAATCATGTTCTGCGGGGGGGAAGGAGGAGAGGACAGAGGGGGGAAGGAAGGGTGATATACCAGTTTGCGATAAATTCCCCTAATTTCCCCCCAATCCCCCCTCCGCTCCCTCTCATTCCCCCCTCTGCTCCCTGTCATTCCCCCCCCCCTGCTCCCTCTCATTCCCCCCTCTGCTCCCTCTCATTCCCCCCTCTGCTCCCTCTCATTCCCCCCTCTGCTCCCTATCATCCCCCCCCCCCCCCCCCCCCTGTTCCCTCTCATTCCCCCCTCCGCTCCCTCTCATTCCCCCCTCTGCTCCCTCTCATTCCCCCCTCTGCTCCCTATCATCCCCCCCCCCCTGTTCCCTCTCATTCCCCCCTCTGCTCCCTGTCATTCCCCCCCCCCTGTTCCCTCTCATTCCCCCCTCTGCTCCCTCTCATTCCCCCCTCTGCTCCCTCTCATTCCCCCCTCTGCTCCCTGTTATCCCCCCCTCCGCTCCCCATAAATTACAGCTCTGCTTTCCCATCAATTCCCCTACTGCACCAGGTCAATACAGAACCCCCTCTGCTATAAAATAATTTCCCCTTGTGCTCCCCATCAATTTACTCACTCCTTCCCCTCATTTCCCCCTTTCCCTCCCCTCCTTTTCAGCCTCCCTCTTCTCCAGCTGCTTCAGCCTTGACACTCAGGATTTTGTCAGAACTGGTCCGCCACGCATGAATTTTGTTAAGCTATAGCTATTAAATAGTACCGGTTTGACAAGTACCCATGACATGTATCAATGTTGGATGCTTCTTTATAAAAATCACTTCAGTGTTTAGGATACTGAACTGAGCCATTCAGTTGATCACTACAAAGAAGTGCAACAAAGGTTTCCAGACAAGTCACCTTGCCTTCCAGACACAGCAGGTGCAGCAGAGGCAGCGAGGGAGGAGGGCAGGCCATAGCTACCCTGGCGCCACCCACCCCCCACCTGCACCACATGCATCGCCTCATACCCCGCCACTGCCCACTCCCCCTGCACGCCCTGACTCGAACCAACTGCGCCCCCCACTGCCTTCTCGCCTCCACTGCCAGCATCTGCATCAGCAGGCTTTGTGTGTGGCGGCAGTGGCAGGAGGGCTGTTGCTTGTGTGCGACCAGGTGCGATGGCGGAGAGGGACGTCCACAAGCAGATGGACGAGAGGGCGTATGGCGGCGTGAAGGCGGGTGGGGGTGGTGAGGTGAGGGTGAAGGAGGGGGGAGTGGCTGGTAGCAGCGGCTGCAGATTCCACTGCACAAATGGGTTCAGAGCGGTGCAGTTGGTGTACGGCTCTCCTGAGGGAGAAGGATGGGGACAGGAGGGCAGGAAGAGGGATGGGGTAGAGTGGAGATGAGAGGGGAAAGGGGAGACAAGATGAGCACTCAGAAATAGAGCACAGAATCAAGGCAGAGGGTAATCAAGTGGAGGCGAGGAGGCGGGCAGCGAGCAGCAGCGAGTGGCCCACAAGCGCTACTGAAGCATCCATCCTGCTTCATCCCCACCTCTCACCTTCCCCACTGCCCTGGGAGCGGCTCTATAACCCCCCCCTCCCGCCCCTTCCCACTGCTCAGCACCCTGTCCTCCTTGTGTTCTGCCACTAAGCAGTGGCAGCAGGCAATCATACATCATGGTGATAATCAAGCACAAGGAATTCACCCACTCAGCTCGCACCCACACCACCATCCTTCCAAAACCCATGCCCCCTCTCCCCTCCTTGGCCTGCCCACCGCGCATGCTCCTCCCACACTATCTGAACCGCCTTGGGGTTGGCCCCCGCTGCTTCTACCTCTGCTGGCTCTATTCCCTGGTGTGCAAGTCATCTCACTGCCTCCCACTGCTGCTTGGTCACTGCATTGTGTAATGGAGTCCCTGGGGGAGGGCAGAGGGCGGAGGGCAGAGAGCGGGGGGCGGATGGTGGATGAGAGAAGGCGGAGGGATACAAAGAGGAGGAAAGCGGCTCTGGAAGCAGATGCAGAGCCAGAGCAATTCAAGCGGGGTGCAGAGGGCACCGCAGGGTAGAGCGCATGAAGGCAAGAGGGCTAAGAAGCTGGGTGGAGAAAGAAACGAGCGAAGCACTTTCTACCGTTCTTGCATTGAACCAATCATGGCACTCACAGCCGCAAGGCACTCACAGCCGCCAGGCACGCACAGCCGCCAGCAGGCACATGCAGTCCACGTGGCCGCCATACGCCGCCACGTGCAGTGGCGTGGTGGCGTTGCGCGTGCTGCACACCCGCGCTGGCATGCCCATGCGCAACAGCGCCTGCAGCTGCAGGCACATGCATGGGAGAACGGCGGGGAGGGAGAGAAGCGGGCAGCAGGGTGAGTGCGGTCCATGCCTGCGACATTATTGAAGGTGCATGTGAGTGCAGGCACGTGGACGGGGAGGGATGAGTGCACACGCGTGATGGACGGTGGGTTCAGAGAGTGTTGAGCGGGCTGCATGGCTGTGCTGCATGGGTGAGAGCTGGTGCATGGCTGTGCTGCATGGGTGAGAGCTGGTGCATGGCTGTGCTGCATGGGTGAGAGCTGGTGCATGGCTGTGCTGCATGGGTGAGAGCTGGTGCATGGCTGTGCTGCATGGGTGAGAGCTGGTGCATGGCTGTGCTGCATGGGTGAGAGCTGGTGCATGGCTGTGCTGCATGGGTGAGAGCTGGTGCATGGCTGTGCTGCATGGGTGAGAGCTGGTGCATGGCTGTGCTGCATGGGTGAGAGCTGGTGCATGGCTGTGCTGCATGGGTGAGAGCTGGTGCATGGCTGTGCTGCATGGGTGAGAGCTGGTGCATGGCTGTGCTGCATGGGTGAGAGCTGGTGCATGGCTGTGCTGCATGGGTGAGAGCTGGTGCATGGCTGTGCTGCATGGGTGAGAGCTGGTGCATGGCTGTGCTGCATGGGTGAGAGCTGGTGCATGGCTGTGCTGCATGGGTGAGAGCTGGTGCATGGCTGTGCTGCATGGGTGAGAGCTGGTGCATGGCTGTGCTGCATGGGTGAGAGCTGGTGCATGGCTGTGCTGCATGGGTGCAGGCGGGGAGGCAGGTGAGACTGACCACGGGGGAGTCACCATTCCGAGCAGCCACATGCATGGCGGTCCAGCCCCACTTGTCCACCACGCCACTCAGCCCCTCTGCTGACTCCACCCCGCATGCCCGCACCACATGCCACAGCCCCTGCCCCTCCTCCTCCCCACCACCCTCACCACTAGTACATCCCCTCCCCCATGCACTCACCTCCCTGTCAAAAGGGACGACGTCTCTCTTCCCCCTCCTCGGGCAGCACCTGCTCTCCCCCTCCATTCCCCCTCCCCATCAACCCGCGCCTTATTCCGCCCACCCCTAATCTCCTTCCGCCCATCCCTGATCTCATTCCGCGCTTCCCTAATCTCATTCCGCCCTTCCATAATCTCATTCCATCATAACTACTCGCATTTCGCCCATCCGCAATCTCATTCCGCCCTTCCTACTGTCATCCCTCCCTTCTTAATCTCGTTCCGACCTTGTTCCTCTCATTCCGCCCTTCTTCCTCTCATACCGCCCTTTTTCCTCTCATTCCGCCTTTCTTCCACTCATTCCGCCTTTCTTCCTCTCATTCCGCACTTCTTCCTCTTATTCCGCCCTTCTTCCTCATTCCGCCCTTCGTCCTCTCTTTCCGTCCTTTTTCCTCTCCATCCGCCGTTCTTCCTCGCATTCCGCCCCTCGTTCTCTCATCGCGCCCTTCATCCTCTCATTCCGCCCTTCTGCCTCTCAATCCGCCCTTCTTCATCTCACACCGCCCTTCCTACCTGTTTTCGACGTTCCAAATCGCATTACGCAAACCCTAAACTCATTCCGCACATCCCTACTCTCATTCCGCCCGTAGTAGTCGCAATCTGCCCTTCCTAATCTCAATCCGCGTTTCCCACTCTAAATCCGCCCATCCCGTCTCTCATTCCCGATCAAGGAAGATGCTCTCATACTAATCGTAAACGGGGGAAATAATGCTTAGCTGGCTTTCTATTTCGGTGTTACTACGGCTCAGCGACGGGAGTATGGTTGCTTGGCGTGGGCACTCATTTTCTGACTTCACACTTCTGTCAACCTCAAAACGTGATTGCGTCGCCAGGGTGGGTCGCATAGTTCTCAATCAGACGCAAACCTGTCCCCCAAGGCTCGTCTTACACCCAAACCTGCCCACCCAGGTTTGTTTTGGCCTTGATTGTTGGGGAGTTCGCTGTGTTCTTTTCACCCGCTCGTAAAAACTTTCGTCATTCGTTACCCAATCACGGACGGGAAAACCCAACCAGGTGTTAAACCTTTGGAAATTTGAGACCCGAGCTTTAAGGAGTATCGTACGAGCTGTGGGAGAGTACCAGGATTGAAGATAGGACCACGACTCAACTGAGGGGAATGACTCGAGGGAAGACCATGACAGCAGCTTGTACAATTTGATTCTCAAGGTAAAACCATAAGGCAGCTCTCATTACAGGGACACAAAGGCACAATGCTGTCAGTGGACCTGGCCATGAGGTTGCGGGGATCTCCTGACTATGGGGATTTGGTGGGGAGTGGGTAAAGGGAATGAGGGATAACGAAACAATGAATGTTCCAGGAAAGGTGGAAAGAAGGAAGCAATGAAGGGGAGGGTGGGGGTGGGGTAGGGGGGAATTTGACAACGGCGCAATTGTGTTGAATGATGGACTCTCACTGGACCCACAAGCAGACAATAATTTACCTAACGTGCTGACCGTCGCCGTTGACATCCACAACGGTCACATTGTCAGCCTCCAGAGCTAGGGCGATCTACAATAGTGGGAGGAAGAGGGTGAGAGGCAGGGAAAGAGGGAAGTGCCTATTAGACGTGCCTTGCTCGCTACCAGCAGTCACGTTGTCAGCCTCCAGAGCAAGGGCAATCTGCCATTGTGGGAAGGCGGATGAAAAGGGAGGAGGGTAAAAGCAGTGGGGGAGGAGGTGAAATGAGAGTAGCAGTATAGCAAGAGCAGCAGCAGCAGAGCAGGAGAAGCGCAGCAGCAGAGCATGAGTTTTGAGGCGTCTCAAAAGCCCACAGAGCAAGAGCAGCGAAGCAGCAGCGCAAGGACAGCGCAGCGGCAGACTGAGACGTCTCAAAGGCCAATAGAGCAGGAGCAGAGCAGCAGCAAAGCAAGAACAGCGGAGCAGCAGAGCAGGAGCAGCGCAGCAGCGGAGCAACAGCAGCTCTGCAGCAGACGCATGTGTGATCCCACGCACGAACGCGTGCTGCCCACGTGCGTGATCCTTGAAGCAGAAACGGGATCAGCGGTGATCGTGCATGGATGATTCATGGTTAATTTCTTGGAGTAGGAAATAACTTCAGTACGCATGGGGTAGGGGAAATGCATGGAGCAATATAAGAATCAGAACGTAGCACAGCCTAAATCGGCGCGTAGGAACTGCGAATCTGGCTGCGCACGACATTGGCGAATCCCCTTCCGCGAAGTAACCGCCTCCGTCACTTGTTTAAATGTGCCTCATAACCTATCTGAACCAAGCTACGTGGTTCTTCGCTTGCTTTCCGTTTCCCCCATGGCGCTGATGAAAATCTCAGAAGTCATTGCTACCCAAGCGCGTACCTTTTCCCGCATCGCGGTAGCCGTTGCGGAGTTTACGGCGCCAGGTCCGGAGACCTCAAATGCGCGGAGCCGCGTGGATGGTCGGCCCTGATTGGCTGCAGAGTGGATCCCTCGCGACCGCGGCTTCGCTGATTGGCTGTGACTGATTGCCCGGCATGGAGCTACAGCGACGCGTGCGACGGACGTCGTGCGGCAGGTGGATGATCGCAGGAAGCTCGCGCGAAGAGAATTCGCAGCGAGTCGCAGGGAACCGACGGTGCGGGCGACAGTGGCAGCCATGGTGGGCGTTTCGCAGGAGAGATGGAAATGAAGCTTCCGAGGTACGCTGAATTCTCGGATGCTTCTGTGAGAAAAGGTCGACTGCTCGAATTGACTCTGCGTGCCAATCCAACTTGCCTTGAATGCCCACTGGTTGAAAGAAGGAAGCCATGAGGAGATAGAATCCAACCACGCACTGCCAGAGCGAGAAAAGTGGGAACATAAAGGCACTACCCAACCGTTCCGGATCTACGCACATTTCTCTGCCCCGTAAAGCATCTCATCAAACCGATTTGGTTTCTGGATTTGGATTCGTTCATGTGGTGGCTGGTACAAGTTGAACCTGGTCTTCGAAAGATGCATGTACGTGTTAGCGGAGCTGCTTCTGGAGAAGTCTACGTGGCGCGAAAAGCTTTCGCTGCCACGTGTAAGCTACTGGGAGCAGGTTGAAACAGCATTTTGCATAGCGGTTTTGATTACCATACACTTATTTAGCTTTCCTATTTGTATGTTACCGAGTCTCCCAATAACGAGCTCGTACCCTAGTGTGCTCGCTCTCCCTTAGGTTTTTTCTCGCTGCGGCACGCAATCTTCTCAACCCATCTCCGTCCCTTCTTCCTCCCTCCCACACTCCACGCACGGCAAACTCCAAGGTTGCTTGCGCACAGTCAATTCTGTGTGGCGAATGGCCGTCGTCAGCCGAATCCTATTGGTCGAAACTTTGTTCTGGTGGTCCCAGTTCTCAACACAAATTCGAGATTCGGCGATTTCTGAGTTTCGTGGAATAGAAAGCTGGAAACGCGTAGCCTGAAGCTTTCAGATAGGAACTTCCATTGGACTTCGATTCCATCCAACTCTGCTAAAAGCTTCGTACGATCCTTGCATAGCGCTACTTTGAATCTAGTTTCTCCTCTGGAGCCTCAGAAGCACCCGCGTTTCGGAGTTCATTCTTCAGGTCGTTCATCACATAAGCTCGCAAGGTTCTGAGTGGAGACGCTTTTGTAAGCTCTTGAGGTGCGTCTTATGGACGGCTCTAAAACTGCCTGAAAAATGGTAAAGTTATCCAAAGTGAGGGAACGGAAAGAACCGAAGCACGACAAGGGAGAACTATTAACGGTGGCCTGTAACATCATACGGTTTTAGTGGTTCAAGCGACGCGTAATGATCTCAAGCGAGGCATACTACACAAACGCCATATGAAATAAACGGGGTATTGTAGCTGGTTACCCGCGGAAAAACGTCACGTCCCGTCTACCCATTCTCCGGTCGTCTCTTTGAAGTTCCAATACTGTTTCCTTTTCGTGTAACGATTTGCTCCCCATCCCACATCTACAACCCGCTTCCTATCCCCCGTGCTACCATCCGCTCCCATCCCACATCTACAACCCGCTTCCTATCCCCCGTGCTACCATCCGCTCCCATCCCACATC